AGTCAAGGGCATGTACCTTGGTTGAGGGCACATCCCCAGTAGGAGGTGTGCAGGAGACAGCTGATTGATGTTTCTCTCTCATTGATGTTTCTAACTCTCTATCCATCTCCTCTCCTTTCTGTAAAAAATCAATAAAATGTATATATTTTTAAAAAGTATATATTCCAGGGAACACTGGTAATAGCAATCACCTAAAAGTTCAATACTATTGAATATTTATATTTATAACAGAATGGCACCTACACTTTTTCTAGAACACTTGTATTAAATAATTTTTCTCTAGTTCCTAAATAAAAATAGTTTCTCAGAACAAAATGATTCAAAAAAATACAGAAAATCCAGGAGAAAAAATAAAAAAATTGACCTGAAAGATTACCACCAAAAGACACAACCCGTTAAAACTTTTGGCATACATCATCATGATCTTTTTTCACATGTTCATATTTTTAAAGATTAAAGATAGTTATAATCACACTACGATATTTCATATACTCCTTTTCCACATGGATAAATATATTTTAAACCAAACATATTATTAACCACTAGTGATTCACAAACCACACTCTTCATGCTCTGGAGCTTCTAAGGAGGTACCTCACAAGCCTGGGCCAACCTAGGCGCAATAGGGAGGTGCCTAGGACCTCTCATACTTTCAGTGGCCCACAAAAATGTTGAAAGCTAAGTTTCTTTTAAAATCAGAAGAACAATTACAATTTAATAATAAAACCAGCCTGGGTTATATTCATCTTGATTCTGAGATATCTTGAACTTTAGACAAATAAAAAACAGGTTTTTTCCTTCACGTTTTTTCAAAATGGCTATAACTTGTTTATTGGGAATCTATTTATTTTATACACTTTTAACTATATTTATAATACTATTTAATTGATTCCCTTGCTGTTCAAAACTAGACAATCATATCATCTGAGATTTCCCCTTTTCAAATAATTATTCCTAAATCTTTTCCTTATTCAATGCATTATCTGATGCAAAACAAGATAAAATAATGGTACTAACAAATCTTATCCCTATCCTTTTCCACTGTGCTCTATGCTTGGTGGAGAATGACCTATATGGACTATATCCAATAAAACACAGCCAAATTAGAGGCACTGGCAGAGACAAGAAGGCAGTAGGAGAAAAAGGTGGATTAATTCCTCTGGATCCCTCTCCACCAGGTCACCTTATGTTGGCAATTTCCCACTATTTCAACTTCTGTAGGGCTAGTCCCTCCTATAGCTACTAGTTCCCTCTCCAAGAACCAATTTTATTTCCTCCTGTTATGTCTTTTACATCCCTATAAGGTTATATTTTTAAGTTAGAAAAAAAATTATTTGCAGCTCCTCACGGGAAAAATGATAGGTTGCCTAATATTTGATATCAGCTTATATACATGTTTAAGTTTTAATATGTAGTAAATTTTATTTTTTAATATGTTTTCATTGATTTTTAGAGAGAGGAGGGGAGAGGAATAGAGAGACAGAAACATTTGTTGAGAGAGCAGATCATGGATTGACTACCTCCTGCACCCCGCTACTGGGGATCCAACCCCGCAACTAGGCATGTGCCCTGACAGAATAGGACCCGTGACCTTTGGGTCCTGGGTCAATGCTCAGCCGCTGGGCCATACCAGTTGGGCATAGATAGTAAATTATAAACAGAATATTCACAATAGCATTTCCTTCAAAATACTTTATAATAACTTTAGACTCCAGGTCTCTTTTTGACAGACTTACTTAGGAGAGTGTTTTAAAGTTATCAATTCAGTTAGGGGGTTTTGTTATTAATATCTATCTAGTTTTATCACTTTGTGGCCGAAGAATAAGACTAGCCCTGTTTTTTCTTTTGGGAAATTACATAAGTCTTCTTTTGGTAAAATATATGGTCAGTTGGATACCTGAAGTTTTACTTATGAAATTAACCATACTGATATTTATTTAAACCTCTATAATCTTAAGGACTCATCAGAATTTTAATATCATAATTTGTGGCCCAATATTTGGATTTTTACAGCTTTATCTCAGAACTTTCTTACAAAGCATAACTTGCCCTTTTGGACTCAGAACCCACCCACAGAGTAAGCAGCTGTACTGTTTGTTAATCATACTCCTTCCATCACTGTTAAATAATACTTCCTGTACTATAATCATGTGATATGAAAACAGCCTTTTGTTCTAAGGCTTGGGCTGAAACTAGGATGTTGACAAATGCTTAATCATATATCACCTTTTGTTCTCATCTCAAACCCCACATGCTTGGCCACTGAGTCAGCCAACTGTTAAAAGTACAGTTGCCCCCACCAATCAGAAAACAAATAATGTAAGTTTACAGTCTCATTTCCCCTAAGTAATCCATCTCTTTTATTGTCAGTTCCTTACAATTTTTGCTTTATAAACCTTGCTTTACCCAATCCATTTTGGAACATCTTTGGTTTATACTGAAGGCTACATTTCCTGGTTTGCAAATCATTATGTGAATAAACTCTCTTTTAATTTTTTAGAAAGTTTCTTCCCAACTTCTGTTTATATTTTATGTTTTTTGTTTACACAATCTGTCAATGATTAAGAGAGAGATTTTAAAATTTTCTCTAATAATTGGGAACATTTTCCCTTGAGGTGCTTTTTACCAGGCCAGCAAGGAATGGCAGTTGGGGGGGACCAAGTCAGCAGGGGATGGCAGTTGTGGGGACCAGGCCTGCAGGGGGAGAGCAGTTGGGGGGGATCAAGCCTGCAGGGGAGGGAAGTTGTGGGAGATCAGGCCAACAGGGAGGGCAGTTAGAGATGACCAGGTCAGCAGAGGAGGGCAGTTGTGGGAGACCAGGCCAGCAGGGGAGGGCAGTTGTGGGAGACCAGGCCAGAAGGGGAGGGCAGTTGGGGGGAACCAGGCTTGCAGGGGAGGGCAATTGGGGAAGACTAGGCAGGGGAAGGCAATTGGGGGAGGGGGAGCATGCCTACAGGGGAGGGCAGTTGGGGAGGACAAGGCCTGCAGGGGAGGACAGTCTGGGGGGACCCAGCCTGCAGGGGAGGGCAGTTGGGGGAACCAGGCCAGCAGGGGAGGGCAGTTGGGGGGGACCAGGCTTGCAGGGGAAGGCAGTTGGGAGCTGCAGTCCTGGATTGTGAGAGGGATGTCCAACCACTCGTTTAGGCCCATTTAGGCCTGGTCCCCGGACCTAAACGGGCAGTCAGACATCCCTCTCGGGGTCCCAGATTGGAGAGATGCAGGCTGGGCTGAGGGACACCCCCGCCCCCCTGCGCCATGCATGAATTTTGTGTACCAGGCCTCTAATATCTTAATAATGTAAAATTAAAAAAAAAAACTATGACAAATGTTCATTAATGATTTTATGTCTCATAAATGAAAAGTGATGATTTTTGTCTTATTCTGAGTCTCTTTGCTACAGGTATGTTTTCTGAATATAATTATAATGGTTTGTGGCCTATTACTGATGTATTTATTAGGTTAATATGTTGTCTCCTCCATTAAAATGTAAATTCTGTAAAGGGCAAGTCTTTATCTAACTCACTGAGATAGTCTAAGTGCCTAAAACAAAGTCTAGCACATAGTGCTCAACAAATATTTGATGAGTGAATGAAGTATGGGTCATACCATTTTAAATTGCACTACAGCACTGTTTCATGACATTCCTTCCTCTTATTGTTCCTTTTTTCATCAGTTTATTTTACCTCACTGTTGAATATTTTTTCTTTTCCCCTGAATCTATGTCTTCCACAATTAGCCAGAGCAAACACTAAACTTACTTCCCTGTCCAACAGAAAACATTTTACAAACATGACTTTTCTTGTGAATGTAATTACACTTTTATTAAGGATAGTTTTTTCATAAGTGCTATTCTAATTCTTCCATATCTATTTTTAAGCCTAGTATTTTCTCAAAAACAAATTGTGTAGTAAATCCTGCTTATTTCTCCTTTATATCAGGATGTGATTAGAATTATAATCTCACATCTAAAGTGCTGGCTAACAGAAGTTTTATTACTTTTCCAGTGCCCTAGGAGCTTGAGGAAAATAGAAAAGGGAGTGAATCCTTAGGGCCATGGATATTCCCCATATGAAACCTTCATCTGTGCTTGTTAAAGATGAACATCTTTCATATCTAATTTTTTCTCTGACTCAGCTTCTAATCCACACATGCACTGTGGTCATGTCCAGTTCTCAGCTTAGCACAACTGCCTACTAAAGTAGGATGGAACTTTGTTGCCTTATAAGAACTCTGCATCACAACTCAGTGGTTCTTGTTCACCCTTAGACCCTGAATGGTAATTACTTTTGAACCCTGATAAAGGAAGGTGTTCTAAAATCACAGGCTCTTGACTCAAACTTTTGATTTCAAATCCCAGCTTCACCACTTCTTTAGATGTGTGACCTGTTTGTTTCCTCATTCACAGAGTTAACAAAGTACTTACATCTCATTAGGTTATTGCACATTAACTGATTAATACCTTTTAAGTGCCTAGAATAGTGTCTGATACAGAAAAAGAGTTCAATAAATGTTAACACTTTTTTTTCCTTCTATTTGTCTTGGCTCTCACCTTTATGAATAAATGTGGAAATGTTAGGATATGTCAAGATTTCTTCTATTTACAGTGACAGCGCAGTGCTTTCTCATGAGGTTTGTAAATAAATGTTTCATATAGTCCTTCAATCTATTATTCTAACCTAATCGAGCAGAATCCTTTCCCCAATTTGTAATTCATATGTAATTTTTTCCATGTTCTTATATCTTTTGGTCTGTCAATTGCTTTAAAGAAGAGTGTAGCTACATACCTGTGCCTAAATATTTCTTGCTGAAAGCTCTGTGGAATTATTTATTTAGTTAAAAAAATAGACTTCTCATTGGTGTATCAAATAATTAATTTCAGGGGAGTCAGGAATAATTTTTCCTGTTTTTCAACATAGACATTAGTATATCCCAGAGTTTAAGAAATACTAATCTACAATACCACCTTATAAAGAATAAAAAGAAAGAACTCAATTACTTACGATGCTCCTGAATTCATAATGCAGCTCTTGGCTCCACAAACACAATTTCTCCCATCATCATGATTCATTCCAAGGTTATGACCCAACTCATGAGCAACAATAGATGCAAATGTCTCCACTGTGATTTGCCCAAACTGTCCAAACATAAGAAGGTATTACCTAGGTTTCTGAGCAATAGGATATGTTTTGTTTCTGAAATTATTTTTTCACAAAAGGAAACTTACCCTAATAATGTTAATAGTCTATATGATAAAACAAGCATCCAACATCAGTCCTTACACATTTCAGCTTAGTAAAAAACACGTGAGACTCAACACACTGATGAAATAGACCCTTTAAGCAATAGATCAAATACTTTAGCACCTATGGATTATTCATGGTGGTCTACAGGAAAACGAGTTCATGGTTCTAATTTAACTTTCTTAAGTGAAGTCTCTATTTCCTCATCCATAAAAAGTGAGGAGCTAATAAATATTAGGATACTTAATCCAGGCTCCAGAGAAACAACTCATCTATCACTTCTATATTATCCTTCATAATACCCAAAATATAGTTTTAAGGATGATGGAAGGAAGTATAGAGTCAAGAAATGCTTGACACTCTCTTAATGCAGATGGCCAAAGGTGAATATCAAGAACAAAAATGTACCACGTTGATCCCGCCTGCGTGGCTCCTTGAACACACTGTTCCCACAAATGCCATTCCTGCAGTCCCACCAAAACCTTTCTTCCTAAATAAAAAGAAAAGGTGAAAGTTATAACAAGTAACATTTTAAAGTCAGAATAGAATAAAGCCTTCTCTCTTTTATTATCAGAGAATAAGAATAATATTACAAATTTGTTTTTTAGAAAAATAAAGATAACAAACCAAAATTTTTCTACCTTCTAATGAAAAACCTCCCTAAAATGCATTAGATTTATTTATGCAAAAATTCTAATGAGAGACAGAGAACAAACTCAATGAACATATGCACACAGGAGGCTGCAAGGCAGGAAGCACAGGGAACAGTGAGGTCACAGTGGCCTCCATGTGGTTCATCACTTGTATCCCAGGACCTGTTCCATCTGCCTGGAATTCTCCTCACCCATTTTTTACCCCTAGTTCACTCCATCACCTCCTTCAGTTCTTTACTCAAATTATAATATCTTTTCACTGAGACCTTATTTTGCCATATTACCTAAATTTCAACTTTACTCCTCCAACATTTTTATTTTTCTACCTTACCATTTTTTATTTATCTAGTGCCCTAGTGCACAGATTCATGCACATTAAAATGAATTAATTAGAAGGTGGCCAGCGGGGCAGGACTGGGCAAGACAGACGGACTGGACATACCCTGGAGCCAACCCCATGAGGTCCCTCTCCAGCAGGCCACACCTGGGGCAGCGCTAAGCTCGAAGGGTATCTGCGGAGTGAGCAGGGTCCCTCCAGAAGGTGAGGTCCCTTGGCCTAGCCTGCAGAGATCAGGCTGAAACTGTCTCTCTGACATCCCCTGAGGGGTCCTGGATTGCAAGAGGGTGCTTCTCGGGTGATGCACCCCAGAATCGTGCTCCCTCCTCTCTGGTTCTGGGGTATATCACTTGAGAATCGCTGCTGTCAAGCCACCACAGCTCAGCAACTCCTACATTGAGCATCTGCCCCTGGTGGTCAGTGCACCTCATAGCTACTGGTCGGAGCTTCTGTCCCCTGGTGGTCACTGCACATAGTAACTACTTGTGGGACAGTCTGACAGTTGCTTAGCCTTTTATATATAGAGATATAGGTATTATATATACTTATTTATCTCATTTATGGCAAATCACCTCCACCAGAATATGAATTCCATGAGAGCAAGAAGTTTTGTCTGTTATGTTTACTGCTCTACCCCAGTGCCTATGGTATACACCTAATGCATATTTTTTAAATGAATAAATCCTTCTCTGGGGTATCTGACCAGCCAGGGTAACAGGACTTGAGATATTGACATAGGGGATTTCCAAGAAAAATTTTCAGCCAGATCACCACATAATGAACTCCAAAGTCTCCAAGCCCCCACTCATGTACTTAATGCTTCATAAAGGCTTTCAGTACCTCATTTTAACCACAAACAAAACACCAGAGATCATGAGACACTGGAAAATACCTCTAACACAACAGATGGAGGCCAAAAAGAGGGGAAAGACAGCGTGGTAGGCATACTTGGGCAAGGCACAGGAAGTATGCTTGATGCCTGGTCCTTTTGGTCTTGTGTGAACTGGATGGCATACTCACTGGGATGAGGATACTTGTAAGTGCAATTTTACTAAAAATTAATTAAAAAGTCAGGACCAATCTTTGTGATTACAGAACCATAAAAATCCATTTTGGCATTTTCAGTGCCTTGCTTTAAATTAACTCACATAACCAAAGAAAACAAAATAAAATCAAGAGAAGTTTCTCCTCTGGGGAAAAAAATATATATTTTTAAGTACCATCAACATTGAGGGAGGCAAAAAGTATTATATAAAATAGAACTTTTTCTTTTTTTGCAAAAAATCAGCCTATCAAGCCAGAAAACTTTTAAGGAGGATAAAATGTTTTAAATATTTTCAGTGAATGTTTTGCTGTAAGTTTTTGGAATGTACTTGTATTAAGTGATTTATATAAGTTTATGTTTTATTAAGGTAGAAAAGAAGAAAAAATTTTAAAATATATCAATAATATTTCAAAGAGAGTAAGAAAACTAATATATCCAGGAAATAAAAAACTGATTATGTAAAAAATATTCAGGGGAACAAAAAACATCTACTAAACATTAAAAATAAGATAGCCAGAAATTGAAAACTCAATAAAAAGCTTAAAAGTTAAATTTAAGACAATATCCCAAAAACGACAAAAATACAAAGAGAAGAAAGGAAACAAAAGATAATTCCTGAAACTATAGGATATCAGTTTCAAAACTGAAATTACCCACTAAGCACACAGCACATCAGTGATAAAAGACCTACACAAATGCCTATCATTAAGACAATTCCAACACCTGGGAATTAAGAGAAGATCCTATAAGTTTCTAGAGAAAAAGAAATTTTAAAAAGCCATATATACAGGATCAGAATGATTTAATGGCTCTCAACAGTCATATTAGAAGTCAAAAGAAGATTTCATGGTTCAAATTTTATATCCATCAAAATAATAAAAAGTTATTAAACAAACTACAAAGCACACCTCTAAAAGAATGAGTTACTCCAGAATTATCAAAGGTCAAAATGAGATAATTTTAAAAATATATGTATTTTTATTGATTTCAGAGAGGAAAGAAGAGGGATAGAAACATCAATGAGGAGAGAGAAACATTGATCAGTTGCCTTCTACAGGTCCCCTACTGGGGATCGAGCCTGCAACTCAGGTATGTGCCCTTGACCAGAATTGAATCGGGACCCTTCAGTCTGCAGTCCAATGCTCTATCTGCTGCACCAAACTGGATAGGGCAAGATAATTTTTTAAAAATCTGTTCTGAGACTATTAAATACATTTTCTCAGATGCAAGATGAAACTATGTTAAGGAACGTAAGAGACTTGGTTGGAAAGTTGTAAGGAGGACATTCTGATAAAAGGGAAGTGTGTGGAATGCTGTCTGCCTTGTTTACCGAAATTCCAACTGAGGGGCGTGCTGAAGGTGGTGCTTCTACTTATTCCTTGACCTTTCCAAACAAGCCTGTGCATTTGCAGACCCCTGGTATTTACTGGAATCCTTATGCTGAATCCCTGGAACCCCTTGCCTAGAGGACAATATAAACATGTGCCCCCCCCCACCCCAAGATTACTCACCCTACTGATTGTATCTAAAGACAAAAATTCCAATAAAAGCCTAAGGAGGCAGGCAACAGAGGCTGCTCTGGCTACTAAAGCCAGGGGCCCCTTAGCCCTCTCTTTGCACAATCAAACTGTGTTTGAGTAATATGTCCATCCATCATTCAGCGGCTGCTGGTCAGCCCCAGCAAGACTAGAATACATGCCATACCAAAAGGAGAGAGGAAACTAAACCCAAGAAAGAGGAAAGACATGGATTAAGATGACAGGAAACTGAATACAGAAGAGAGAGATTATTATACTATCACTTGGTCCTATTGTATGAAATTAAGTTTTCCTTATTTAAATAAATGATCAAAAACCTTAAGAAAAGAAAACAAACAGAAATTATTATTCTGACCATCTCATTAATAGAACGTTTTAAAAATCACTTAGACCTAGCCCTGGCCAGTGTGGCTCAGGTGGCTAGAGCATCATCTCCTAAACCAAAAGGTTGCAGGTTTAGTTCCAGTTTGGGGCACATATGTAAGGCAACCAATCAATGTTTTCTCTCACATTGATGTTTCTTTCTCTCTTTGCTCCTCTCCTCTCCTCTCCTCTCCTCTCTTCTCCTTTTTCCTCTAAAATCAATGAGCATTTCCTCAGATGACGATTTAAAAAGAAAAAATCACTTACAACCAAAACCTGTTTGGCTCAGTGGATAGAGCATCAGCCCAAGGATTGAAAGGTCCTGGGTTCGATTCTGGTCAAGGGCATGTACATTCGTTGCGGGCACATCCCCAGTAGGTGGTGCGCAAGAGGCAGCTGATCGATGATTCTCTCTCATTAATGTTTCTAACTCTCTATCCCTCTCTCTTCCTCTCTGTAAAAACTCAATAAAATATTTTTTTAAATCACTTACAGAATTAGCTGTGCACTGTCATGTCTCCGACGTGTTATAAGAAACTTTTCCCGCCATTGTACAAAGTTTCCCAACACATCACCAGCACCACCAATTGTGCTGATCAGGTTTCCATTTGTCCAAATCTCTAGTCCAACTAGCACAACTCGAATATTTAGCATAATATACATCTAGGAAGAAAACATAAATAAAAGTATAAAAATATATTAAATAGTATCTTTTAGCTTATAATGAAGTAACATAACTACTTAAATTAAAAACAGGACTCCTCACCCAGGCCAGGTGGCTCAGTTGGTTGGAGCATCGCTCCATGCACCAGAAAGTGCTGAGTTCAATTCCCAGGAAGAGAAGATACCTAGGTTTCAGGTTTGATCCCTATCGGGACACATACAGGAGGCAACCGAGTGATATTTCTCTCTCACATCAATGTTTTTCCCTTTTAAAAAAATATTCCCTTCAATATAATGAGATTCTACCCTCTCAAGGGTCTCAGTTTCCTTGTCTATAAAATAAAAATAAGTTCAAAATCCTTTTTATTTTCCATTCCAAAATCCTTCATACTCCGGAAGTTTTAAGTTTTGGATAAATTAATTCCAAAACTTCCACTAAACTAATGCAAACCTATTTATAGTCCACATTTATCTCAATTAATGGGAACATTCACACATTTCACTATAGAAACATCAATGCATTTGATTTACATTATGCTACCCCAAGATCCTGTGGGAAGTGTTATATAATACACTAGAGGCCTGGTGCATGAAATTCTGCAAGGGTGGGGTTGCTAGGCCTGGCTGGCAATCAGGACCGATCAGGTTCCCCATCTCCCCGCCTCCTCCTTCCCTTACCACCTGCACTCCGCCACTGCATGGTTCCCTGCCTCCCCACCTCCCCTACTCCTCCTTCCCTTGCCACCCACAGATCACAATAACACAATTATTCAATTCTGTTCTGGGACTGTGAAATGATTATGATAGCATAATTCCAATTGATTGAAAATGCAACTTACACTATCCAAGTAGTTTGCTAAACGAATCATCTCTTCTCTCACTGCAGTCTGATTTCTTCCCATCATGTCATACTGAAAAGCAAAAGAGGAAAAATATTATCACCAAAGTAATTGCAGAAAAAAATTCTATAATCTTTTAAAATGTAGATAAAAATCCAAATATTCCAGCATTTCAATTTAATAAATCTAAAAGATACATTTCAGTGATAAATAGAAATAAGAGGAAACAGGTACAATGTAAAATGAATAATGAAAACACTGAAGTCTTTATTTTCTCTATATTAGTACAACTTTAAAATGAATTTTCTTCTCAATATTTTTAGTCATTTTAATGAAAAAATATTTTCAAGCACTTCACAAAAGTAGAATTTGAAAATAATCAAAATAAATAAAGGAATAAAAACATTCTAAAGAATTTCCTGACTCCTTAAGCTAAAGACATTACCAATAAACCATTTCTAAACTAAATTAATGAGAGGTTAACCAATGTTCACAAGTTGAAACATTATCTGTAAATAAAATACAATAGATTAAATATCGCCCAGCCAGTGTTGCTCAGTGGTTGAGCATTGACCCATTAACCAGATCATGGTTCATTTCCCAATCTGGGCATATGCCAAGGTTGCAGGCTCAAGTCCCCAGAGAGGGGCATGCAGGAGGCAGCTAATCAATGATTCTTTCTCATCATTGATGTTTCTATCTCTCCCTCTTCCTTCCCCTCTCTGAAATCAATAAAAGCATCATTTTAAATAAATAAATCTAAATATTTTACCATTATTTTCATACAACCAACTTAATAAATAATGGGGAAATTTTTAAGAATGTATGCGTTTTGCTGTATGATAAAGGCATTAATATCAGAATATACCAGATCTTAACAGTTACTTTATCATGATTCTCCTAAAATAAAGAAAATAAATTTGAATATATTTGACAAAGTTTGATTAAAATTTAATCATTTTTTTGAACCATTATCTACCAGTATATAATATATTTAGAGAAAGTAATAAAGAAAATCATCTCATATCTTTACTTTGGTCACTGATCCAAACATTCTAGAGAAACATTTTACCCATTAGTTGGAACAACGTTCCTGCATGTTCAAAGTCCCTATTTTTTTTCCTTCTACCACTTGAGGGTAATGAACTTATAATGAGCTAATCTGAATATGTGTCTGTCTCTTAATAAATATGGCTGCTCTCCCAAACTATACACAATAATGGATTTTTAAAGCCATGCAACTTTTGAAACTATCTCTGTAGCTTACAAAAAAGCAATTGCCAATCATATAAAGTTTCTACAAACATCTTTTCCACACAAACAACAACGCTGGTAGCAAAAGTCAGACAAAATATTTCAAATAACCTATGTTAAATTATATGACAGCTATATCTAAATATGAAAATCCTATAAATGCTGGAATAGATCCAGTAGTTTTCTTAGTTAAGCACAATTCTTTCTTTGTATGAATACGGAAAATCCCTGGTATTATCCTGAACAGTAAAGAAAATAATAAAAGCTTAGATGAGCCACGCTCCTCTATTCCTTTCTAACACATGCCAGAAACTGGAAATTTCTACCTCTTAAAATAACATCTAGGATAGCTGAAATTCTAGACTGCAAAGCAAATTTATTAGGCAACAAAGCAATAACTGATTAACTGCTTACAGTCCTTTGCAGCGGTCGCCAACCGGTGGTCCGAAAGGTTGGCAACTGCTGTAAGTCATCTGAGAAGGTCTCAAGACTCTGACAAGCAGTACCGTTTTATTTAAGAAATTCAGTATGAGCAAATCACCCAAAGAACAGGAAAAAAAATCACTAGTAGAAAATGAAGTCAGAGGTAGTCCTATTTGCTATATTCAGCTTCTGGTAGTATTATGAATATTTAGTATCTTAAAGGGGAAAAGTCACTTTTTATTACATTTCAGAAAAAGCAATACAAATATATTATATTGTGTATTTCTTTCATGTGATGCTCACTTCTCATCTGCTTTTCCTGAAAAAGAAGAAAAACTGTCACCAATCCTACCCTTTCCTTGTCTACAACAATGAACAGCTCCACATAGCGGGTTTGTGGCAGCACAGCTCTTCTTCTCTGTCAAAAACACAAAACATCGTAAAGGTAAAAAATAAGTTATAAAGCTTGATGATTTCATAGGTATTGATCCTTCCCTAATCTCTAGTCAACTATTTCACATCTGCTCAAAACATCATTTAATTATTTTACATAACACATCCAAAAAAAAAAACAAAAAACAAATAACATGTGTGGGTTGTTTTTGGTTTTTTTTAATGACATCTGCTACCTTTACTGGATCTAAGAAGAATTCTATTTAAAGGTAATGTAAATTACATATGTTTACAAAGAAGAATTATTGATTTTCTAACACCAAAATTACACACCACACACACACATACACATACACTTTAATGAGAAATCCCATTACTATGTTGAGAATAAAAGAATATCCAGTGCAAAAGTGAGTAGCCTTTTAAAAGTTGCCACTTTTTTAAAAAATTACTTTTTATAAGTTTGCATAAATGCATGTAAAGAATATAATAAGCTGAAATTTTATTTCCCAATGGTCAAAGTTTAAAAGAATAGTACAGTAGTCAGAGGTGATGAAAATAATGTCATAAATTAGTATAAGTTCATGAAAATATACTAGAAGAAGCACATGCTTCTTCCATCATAGCAGCATCATTTCATAGATAAAGAACATCATTTCATAGATATTCCTAAAAACATTTCAACCTAAGAGACCCTTGTCAAGAGGAAGCCAGGGTATCCTAATGAAGACTCAAAACAGGGATAAAAGAGCCCCTGAAGTCATCTGAAATAATTAAGGTTCTAAAGCCCAACCTCTCTGTTTCTCCAACCTAGAGCTCAAGAATCACCATTCTAGTTTGTGTCAAAGATATCCAAACAAAAAATTCCACTGCTCTCTGAAAGACAGTGTAATGGATTACTATGCAGCACAGAGAAAAAGGAATACAATTATTGTTTAAGATTTAAGTCCAAGTTCCTAAAACTTACAGGAGCTCTACTGTATTCAATTTGGAGGCAGAACTGCATATTGTTCATATTATTATCCCCTAGTAACTGTCATAATGTCTGGCACATAGTTGGCAAAATCCAGCAATAATAAGTATTTGTTTAATGCATCAATACGTGATATTTTAAAACTTTAATCTGTGTCCATTGATAGCCAAATGGATAAAGATATGGGATATTACTCAGCCACATTGTATGTATATACATAAAATGAAATATTACTCGGCCATGAAAAGAATGAAATCTTGCCATTTGCTATGTATATACATACAATAGAATATTACTCAGCCATGAAAAGAAAGAAATCTTGCCATTTGCTACAACATGAATGGACCTAGAAGGCATTATGCTAAATAAAATAAGTCAAAGACAAACACTATATGATTTCATTTAGTTGTGGAATCTAAAAATCAAAAAATATGAACAAACAATATGGAAACCAAATCATAGACACAGACAACAAATTGATAATTGCCAGATGAGGGGATAGGGGAAGAATGGGTGAAAAAAGTCAAAGGGATTAAGAAGTACAAATTGGCCAAGACTGGTTTGGATCAATGGATAGAGCGTCGGCTTGGGGACCGAAAGGTCCCGGGTTCGATTCCGGTCAAGGGCATGTACTTTGGTTGCGGGCATATACCCAGTAGGGGTGTGCAAGAGGCAGCTGATTGATGACTCTCTCTTATCGATGTTTCTAGCTCTCTATATCTCTCCCTTTCTCTCTGTACAAAATCAATAAAATGTATTAAAAAAAAAAAAAAAGAAGAAGTACAAATTGCCCGGCCAGCGAGGTTCAGTGGCTGAGCATTGACCTATGAACCAGGAGGTCACAGTTTGATTCCCCATCAGGGCATATTACCAGGGTTTCAGGTTCAATCCTCAGTAGAGATGTGCAGGAGGCACCTGATCAATGATTCTCTCTCATCATTGATGTTTCTATCTCTCTCTTTCCCTCTCCCTTCCTCTCTGAAATCAATTAAAATATATTTTTTTAAAATAAGTACAAATTGCCAGTTATAAAAAATACAGCATAGAGAATATATGAATAATATTATAATCACTATGGATGGTGTTAGACGGGGATTAGGCTTATCAGGGTGATCACTTTGTAAGGCATAAAAATGTCTAATCGCTATGTTGAACACCTGAAACTAATATAGTATTATATGTCAACTATAATGAAAATTTTTAAAAACTTAAAAAAAATTTTTTTCAAAGCAATTATGCTTCATTTTTTATACAAAAATAACTTTTTGTATTAAGCTGCAAAACAAAACAAAAAATAACTTTAGTCTGCGCCATGAAGAAATATATTATTTCCTTACTCGAAGCAGCTGAGTGATACTGGGAGGCTCTTCCTCTTCATCCTGGGCTGTTTCTGCTTCTATATCCTTGTTGGAAACGCCACATTTCAGAGGCTCTTTGCGGATATCATCCATTCGATAAAAGATGTGCTCAAAATGAGAGCTGTTTTGCAGGGGTTCAATCCCATAACTCACGTTCTCTATGTGCAGCAATCCTCTAAGTGTTGTGTTACACACACACACAATTTTTAAGAATGAAGAAAAAAATACACAGGAAAGAAATCAGAAAACCTGAATTCAAGTCCTAGTTCTTAACATGTGTCAGAAAGAGTAGCATGGTATAAAGAGAACTATAAGTCTTTAGAGTCAAGCTGACCTACATTTAAAGCTAAAGGCTGTGATTTATTAGCATCACTTCCCAAAAGTTAACCTTGCAGCATGATTATTGTATAATGGAAGGCAATAAGGACAGTGACTAAAAGTGTGCGGTCTGGAGCCAGAGAACCAGAGTTTGAATGCCAAATGTTTCCTACTAACTGTGCGACTCTTGCAAGTTATTTAGCCTCCTCCTTTCTTTACATTCTACAGAGGGTTGTCCTGAAAACTAAATTATTTAATAAGTGCAAAATATTGAGAACATTGCCTGGCACTGTAACAGTATACAGTACTGGTAACTTCTGTATAAAGAATACAGTAACTTCTACAAGGGTTACTACTTAAATGGCAATAATCATAGCCATCTTACATAGTTGGTTTGAAAAGAAAAAGTAGTATTTATTAGTTCAATCATGCAACCAACCAACCAACCAACCAACCAACTAGTGGTGTACTGCCAGACCCTCAATAAATGTAATTTTAATGTTATTATCATTTCACTTGACATGTAATACAATTTCTCCAAACCTCAGTTTGCTCACCTAAACATGGAGGTAAGGAGCCCCTTTTCACAGTCATTATCAGACTTAAGAAAAAAAAAATGTAAGTGAAAATTTTATATAAACATAAAGTGCTACGTAAATTTAAGCATAGTATTTTAAGTGGCAAAAATTATTTAGTGGTCTCAAAAATAAGATATTTCTCTTTAAATATCAAAATCCATCAACTGTAATATTTCCCTAAATAAATATGCCAAGAACGATATCTGAAACATAACCCTAAAGATTTTTGACATTAAAATAAAACCTAATTTTGTTAATTCCCCCAAAATTTGAAAAGAGAGATAGGTGTACAGGGTAAGAAATAGAGAGGAAAAAGAATTAATAAATAAAATTCCTTACCTGAGTCCAAAACAGTCACTAAGAGCAATGGATGAATCATAAACTCCTTCCACATAGCCCCGATAATGACAATGGTCCTAAATGATAAACACTGTATTATCTTCAAATACTGTTATTTGTGAAAAATCATAATAGAAATTACAGAACTAACAAAATTATTTAAGGTCAGTAAACTAAAAATTGTATTTATATTATTGACATCTCATAATATCACATGGTATTCTTTAGACTATTTCAGATTATCTACTACCATCCTGCCTGTATACATATGTAGGGTGGTAGCAGAATTCTAAAGAAACTAAGTATAAATAGCTCTAACCCAATAACTGGTAAGCCTAGAAGCAAAAAAAGACAGTATGTCGTTTTTAACATCTTAACATTTGACATTAGTCAATCCAAGAAGCAATAGCAGGCAATTGACATCTAATACAGAAAAGGACCTTGTGGCAGGTTAATTATGTCAATGGGGGGGGGGGGGGAAGAGAGAAAAAAAAGAAGGAAAAGAAAAGTTCAGTGTGGCCGAAACCGGTTTGGCAGTGGATAGAGCGTTGGTCTGCGGACTGAAAGGTCCCAGGTTCGATTCCGGTCAAGGACATGTACATTGGTTGCGGGCACATCCCCAATGGGGAGTGTGCAGGAGGCAGCTAGTTGATGTATCTCTCTCATCGATGTTTCTAACTCTCTATCCCTCTCCCTTCCTCCCTGTGAAAAATCAATAAAATATATTTTTAAAAAAAGCTCAGTATGTAGCAAAAAAAAAAGAGATTTTGATCAAATTATTTGTTTCTTCCTGTAGATATATTGATTATATTTTATTAGTTATACATTCAGCCATCTTTAAAAACTAAAGACCCTTTATCATTAATTTTGAGCAAGAAGTTGACCAGTGAAAATATAAGCATACTACTTATTGATATTAGATTTTAGTACACGCATAAAACAATAACAAAGCGTTAAAAAAAAAAAGCCAAAGCTGTGGGTAAGGAGACGTAGCCCTACCAGACATTGAGACATATCACAAAGCCTTAATAATTAAAACAGCATGCTACTGGTGGTGCATTAATTGAGAGACCAACCAGTAGAACAGAATATAAAATCTCAAAATATTTCAAAGTACATATACAACTTTTATGATAAAAGTGGCATCTCACTGTGGCAGGTATACTTTTAATAAATGTACTTTATAATGGTTAGACCTTTATAAATGATAAAATTAGATTCATGCCTCACAGCATATATAAGAGTAAGCTCCAAACAGATCAAGAATCCCAATGTAATAAATGAAACCACACAAGATCTAAATGAACAATAGGTGAATTCCTCTTTAACCTGGGTGTAGAGAAAGGGTTTCTAGCTATCACTTGAAACCTATATGCAATAAAAGACTGATCATTTTTATTACATAGAAAAGTTTTTTAATATTCTACATGGAAAGAAACATCAAAAAACAAGGTCAAAAGGTAATTCACAGACTGAGAGAAAATATATCAGAGATAAAGAGTTAATATCCTTAACTTATTATAAAGTACTCTTAAACAATGAAGGGGAAAGATTAAAAACCCAATAAAAGGGGATTGCCGGGGAGAGGTCAATAGGGGGAAAAGGAGATTTATGTAATACTTTAAACAATAAAAATTTTAAATTAAAAAAACAAAAATAAAAACCTGGCCAAAGATATGAACAGATAATTGGTAGAGGAGGATATAAAAATGCCCTTACATATACGAAAGACTTTTCAATCTCACTAATGATAAAGGAAGAATTCATGAGTCTGTGCTGATATAAGGAAAAATTCTTTCTTACAGTAGAAAGCATTGATGAATATAGAAGCACTGAAGAAATTAGGAAATCACAATTTTAACAACTATTATTATAACAACTGATTCAGGCAAATACTAAACACTAAAACTAGTGGGTAAAATTTTGAGAAGTAACAGGATATCTGTATAGTCTCAAAGTATCAACCCTAATATTAATTAAAGAGATACAAACTAACTTTACAGAGGAGAAACATGGCAGAAAACTCCTTAACCAAATGATAAATGTTAACACTGTCAATAATTGGGCTACTAGCAGCATATGCTTACTGATTTGATACACTGAGAACCACTCAGAATCTATTCAGTGGTATTCCTGTCAGTAGTACATAACCTGAATCTAATCATGAGTTAACATCAAACAAAGTCAATTGGCAGGACATTCTACAAAAAGTCAGACCACAAATGTTGGACAAGGAGAGAGAAGTATTTCCAGATTAAAGGAAACTAAAGAAACATGACTACTGAATGAAGCACATGAAGTATTTTCTTTCATTTTTGTATAGCTGTTGATATGAACAAGACTGACTCTATCTTTGTGACCTTGACTTCTTGTTTAAGTTTTTCATGCTGTGAACTCGGACTAACCTCACTAGTTTCAGCCAGTATACCAAAGCCTTATAGTTAATTACTATTTGTGTTCTTTAAAACTTTACTATATAACCATAGAAATCCTTGGGCCAGAATGGCATGGCAACAAAGATAAATATCAAACTAGGTGCTGGCATCAATTGTAAGCAAACATCCATCATAAGCCCATCAAGAAGTATGGTTTCTGGCACATACTGCATTCTTTGTCTCTTTGTCTCATCAATCATTAGTACTTTAACTATACCATTTAAAAATTTACTGTAAACTTTTCCCTTTTCTGGTAAGGGAAACTAGCTGCACAGACTGTGGGGTTATCTTCCTTTCTATCCTATCCCTGTAAGTAACTTATTCTAGAATAATTTCAGTTATATTATGGAGTTGCCTGCCTCAATTTTCGGCCTCAAAATACTTTTTTGCTTTGGTGGCCACTATACCTTCACTCCACCATCAGACAGCCATAAAGAACATTATTGGGATAGTAGATGAAAGGAGAGAGAGAGAGAGAGAGAGAGAGAGAGAGAGAGAGAGAGAGAGAGAGAGAGAGAGAGAGAGGAAGGAAGGAAGGAAGGAAGGAAGGAAGGAAGGAAGGAAGGAAGGAAGGAAGGAAGGAAGGAAGGAAGGAAGGAAGGAAGGAAGGAAGGAAGAGCCTACTAGCCACAAGAATTCAGTAAGCCTTGGGCAGCCGATATATCTTTAGAGGACACAAAGAGCATCAATTAGTTGGGAGAATTAATTAAAAGGCTTTCCTAGAGGATAGAACCAAGATGGTAGCATAGGTAATCACCTATACTTGCTGCCTCTCACAGCCACATCAAAACCACAACTAAACAGCAGAACAATTGCCACCCAGAACTGCAGGAAAGCTGGCTGAGTAGAAGTCCACAACTAGAGAGCTGAAGAAAGCGCAGTGAGGCTGGTAAGAGGTGCAGAGGTGGGGGAAGTGCTGGCACCTGGATGTGCTGCTCTTTTAATTGGGAGGGAGATATAAGCTCCCACTTGCTCTGAACTCCTGTTTTGAGCAAGATTCTGGTGGACCCAGGCACATACGGAGAGAAACTAGACTGTCTGGCATCAGGACAGGAACACAAGGGCAGCTTACTCTTAGAGGTGCTCGCAGCAATCATGGTCCCTGCACAGGAGCACTGGATGCAGAGAACCTGGGACTTCTCTGGTTCAGGGCAGCCATTGCTGTTTGCTCCACCCTGGTGATTCTTAGAGACCCTGCCCGACCCAATTTACAGTCCCACCCAAGCTGTGTGCATTGGCTTTTGCATATGAATGGCGTGTCCTTTCACCTAAAACAAACTGCAGCTGGGTCAGAGAGCCCCAGAGATTCCAAAAGAAGGCCCACTACCTGGCAGCAGCAGAGGCCTTGCTTCACAGCTGGGCATTGTCTGGGCACTTCCAAACCCCATACAAAGATGAGGAATCTGCAGATGTCTCTGTAGCTCCTGCTGGGCAGCCCCAGACAGTGGCTGACCTTGCACCTCCTTGGAGATCCAAGAGCCAGTGTACTCAGTGGTCAGAGTGAGACCATGCCAAATTACAAATCTTCACATCCATAAGAGATACACTCAAGGGGCAGACTCAGTGAGCACCAAAGCCCTACTGAAGCAAGTCCTACTCCATAAGGGTGTCTCCTGCACAACAGTTCTTCCAGTGTAGGCACAGCTGGTCATCACAGCCAATTGGCCTGGAGATCAATTCCTCCCAGTGATAACAACAGCAATCAAGAGTTAACTATAATAAGACTATGCAAACAGCCTACAAAGGGGTGTACCTCAGGTAAGTGGGGACGCTGAGCCACTGGGCCCTATAGGACACCTACCACATAAGGCCACTCTATCAACTCAAGGAGATTTAGCAGCTACCCAGTACATAGAAACAATCACGGGAAGCAGCCAAAAATATGGAGACAAAGAAACAAGTCACAAATGAAAGAAATGGATAAAAGCAAACTACTGAATATAGAGTTCAAAACCAAGGTTATAAGTTTACTCAAGAATCTTCTAGAAACCTCTAAGAAACTTAGTGAGACCCTCAAGGATATGTAAAAGGATTAATTAGAAATTAAGCATACACTGACTGAAATAAAGAATAATATACAGAGATCCAACAGTAGACTAAAGGATCCCAAGAATCAAGTCAAAGATTTGAAATTCAAAGAAGCAAAAAACACCCAACCATTAAAAAAAAAAAGAAAAAGAAAAAGAAATCCAAAAATATGAAGATAGTATAAGGAGCCAGTGGGACAACTTTAAGCGAACCAACATCCAAATTATGGGGGTGCCAGAGAAGAGAGAGAGAGCAACATGTTGAAAACCTATTTGAAGAAATGACAGAAAACTCCCCCTACCTGATAAAAGAAATAGACTTACAAGTCCTATAAGTGCAGAGAACCCCAAACAAAAGGAATCTAAAGAGTACCACACCAAGGGCAAAAGACAAAGAGAGAATCTTAAAAGCAGCAAGAGAAAAAAGTTACCTATAAGGGAGTACCCATATGACTATCAACTGATTTCTCAATAGAAACTATGCAGGCCAGAAAAGAGTGGCAAGAAATATACAAAGTGATGAATAGCAAGAACCTACACCAAGATTGCTCTACCCAGCAAATCTATCATTCAGAATTGAAGGTCAGATAAAGAGCTTCACAGACAAGAAAAAACTGAAGGAGTTCATCAATACCAAACCAGTATTATATGAAATGCTTAAGGGTATTCTCTAAGAAGAGGAAGAAAAGGGTAAAGATAAAAATTATGAACAACAAAGTGACAACAAATACATATCTATCAATAAGTGAATCTAAAAATCAAGTCAATAAAAAATCTGATGAACAGAATAAACTGGTGAATGTAATTAGGGGAATAGAAAGGGAGTGAACTGACAATTATCAGGGGCAAGAGGGTATGAGAGGTGTGGGAAGAGATTGGACAAAAATCTTATACCTATGAAAGAAGACAATGGGGGTGGGAGGTAAGGACATGGGGTAAGGTGGGAACTAGGTGGAGGGGAGGTGTTGGGGGAAAAAGAGGAACAACTGTAATAACTTGAATAATAAAGATTTATTCAATAAATAAATAAATATAAATAAAAGGCTTTCCTAATGCATTTGCAAGGGACTCTAAAGTATAGTAATTTGGAGTTTTATTTCACACAGCAATCCATATAAACTGGTTATTAAAACTTTGTTTCTTTGTGAAAAATTGCCTTGTGGAAGACATGATGATGAAAACCACATAAAAAGCTTTACAAATTACTTTAATATTAAATAACAGAATCATAAAGGAAAGCATATAAATTTCTCAGTGTAAATTAATTGCATTTTATGGACAAAAGTATATATCATTATGATATTTGCCAATCTAGCCATATGCAAAAAAAAAAAAAAGTACTAAAGTATTAATTGGTGTCTGAAATCTGTCACACTTTCATCTGTCTACAATCTAAATATATAAAAGCTTAAGTGACCATTAAGATTAGTCGCTATGATGTGCACTGACCACCAGGGGGCAGATGCTCAATGCAGGAGCTTCCCCTTGGTGGTCAGTGCATTCCTGAAGCAGGAGCACTGTTCAGCCAGAAGCTGGGCTCACAGCTGGCAAGAGTAGCTGCGGCAGCAGGAGCTTCTCCTGCCTCCACAGTAGTGCTATGGAGCAGCAGCAGGCACAGCAGGGCCAGACTGAGCAGGAGCAGCATAGCACCCATGCCAGGATTCTTGTCCCAGCATTACAAAGAGGTGCAGCAATCTGGGGAAAGGAGCTGCATGTAGATTCAATAAAAAGTCCAAAGATTAAAGATAGTTTTGAAAGGCATTGGGAACCAGAAGAGCTTCAGCTAAAGGAGCTAAAGACTATCCCTTGACACAGGATCCCATGCTTTTTATTAACACAATTTGTCCTAAGGCAAGGTGGAGATAATATACTTCAAAGGGTAGGGCTTCAAGGGTAGGGTTTACAGAAGCATGAGCCTACATCAAATGTTTGGCCAACAGGAGGCAATAACATGGAGATTAAGATACCCTGAGCTGTCTGGTAGCAAGCAATCAGGTTTGGTGCAAGTGCTGTTTAGCCATTCCAACAGGTCATCACATTATGTGACTCAGCCCTTGTTGAGTCTAAGTTTCATCAACCTTTTGAATCAACTCTTGTAATTATGACATGTTGGAATTGGATCCTGGCACACCTGGGCTCCTGCTGCTCCCCGATCCCTGCCGCTTCACTCACTACTATATCCCTTAAAGCAGGCGTCTTCAAACTTTTTAAAGTGGGGGCCAGATCACGGTCCCTCAGAGAGCTGGAGGGCCGGACTATATGAACTACTAATTCCTACTGTAACACCTCGGCTGCGCTCACTGCCCAAAAAACCTGGCGGGCCGGATCAGACTCCTCTGCGGGCCGCATGTGGCCCACGGGCCATAGTTTGAAGACGCCTGCCTTAAAGGATGTCAGATTGCTGGTTCTGCCTGCGGGGATCCGGTGAAACTGGCAGTCTGACATCCCCTGGGGGGGTCCTGGATTGGGAGAGAGCACAGCCCAGGCTGAGGGACCCCAGTGGTGCATGAATCCATGCACCAAGCCTCTAGTATCCAATCACCAAGAAATAAATGAAAAACTCCATCTGTTTTAGTTTGTATTTTTCAGACATCCAGGAAAGCACTTTAAGATAACATTGTTACATAAATTTCTAACTGAAATCTATTTTTAGCAGTTTTAAGTATATATACTTTCAATAATAACAGAGTAATATTTATTAAGTTAAAAAATGTCAAAAATGACTTTTTCTAAGAATCTCACAAATATTAACTCAGTAAAGCCTCCTAATAACAATTATGAAGTTGTAATTATTATTCCCATTTTTTTTAAGGTGAGGATACTGAGGCACAAAAATGTCAAAGTAACTTGACCAGCAAATAAATGATAGAGCCAAGATTTGAATCCAAAGAAATCTCTAAAAAAAAAAAAAAAAATCCTTTTGAGATTACTAGTTTTGTCAAATGGCATAAATTATGTGGTCTTTGGCCTCATGACATAGCAATCTTTGGATCGATGATTGGATACATGAATGGATGGGTAGATGATTTCTAATCTGATTTATGCTATCATGTAAATTTAAGCTCCTCTACTAATTTGCTACTAAACAATGATAAACAGAACACTAAGATAAAAAAAAAATCAGAAAAGGATAGGGCTAAGTCAGCATCTCCTTTTTTTAAAGCACTCATTAATTAAAAATAATTTAATTAATTAAAGACTAATTACTCTAAAATAAAGTGTTTGCCTTCTATTTATCTGAAGAGTGCTGCAAAAATGCATAACTAACAAAAAAAAATTCAAGCTAGCAAAATGTTACAAAGCTCAGGGGGGAAATAATACATGTTTAATGAGAACAAAGACTTCTTGTGAAAACTATTGCAAAAGAAAAAAAATATACAATATCTAACTGCCAAAAAGCATTGTAAAACATGCTCCCCAAATAAAACTAGCAATGTTTATGCTCTACTTAAGTAACACATAAAACCAAATCAACATCTGCCAATTTTTTTTAAGTATTCCTCACCAGTTCTGTCCTTAGAAATACTCTGTTCTCTGATGTAAAAGGGATCACACCTCTTTAGGAAAGAATTGTTTCAGTGAAAAACTAAAACATATAACAACAGCAAATCAGTGTTTGTTCTTACTATTAATGGCAAATCAAACCAAAATTACTAATGGTTTAATAAAAGAGTAAGATGTGCCTGGAAATGGTAAATTTCAGGGGGAAAAAATATTTCAAACTATATCAAACTTTCCCCTTCCCTAATCGGTAAGAATTATCATTAGTAGAAGGTTATTCTTCTGATTTTTAAAAACAAACACTTGACTCTGAGTACCTGGAGAGCGGTAAGGTCCAATTTACTCTCGCTATATAAATGCACCCACTACCCCACCACTTTCAGGAAAGCATGTATTATAGTGTCAAGTTATGAGATGTAACAGTCCTGATATTTAAACAGAAGTCCTTTTAAAATTATAACTGTTTGAAATTCTGCTACAGGATCAAGAATAAAATATATTACCTGTATATCAGGACGGTCAGAGATCAGAGCCCCTTCCTTGTTATAGGTATAAACTACAAAATCTCTGGGCAAAAGGTCCCTGGAAGAGGAATAAAACCATTTAAAATCATTTATGTATTTGCAACTAAGAACACAACTCATCCGACATTATTTATAGAAGAGATGATTTTTTATTTTTATTTAAAGGAGCTGCCATAAAACTAAAATGGACTTGCATCTGAAACCATGTGCATCACTTCCTCATAGAGACTATTAAGCTGCAAGTTTGTTCTAATGGTCATAAAATGCTAGTTACAAAGTAATAATAATAACACAAATGTCCTTAAATTTTCTGATACATCTCACAAGAAAAGTGTAAATTAGGTTATATAGTACATCTAGAAGGAAAATAAGTGCTTTTACTCTTTTCTGAAAGTCCTTTATAAACACTCATTGTCTTCACCTCCTAAGAAGAAAATGTGTCTGTTGTTGGAAGAAACAAGTATTTCTGATTCCTAAAGCTTCCCTGCATGTGTTATAGTAATAGTAATAAGGATAAATACAATACTGAATAAGTATTAAAGTGTGGAATTCAAGTATGATATCTGAAAGTATGGAATGTAATTAAACAAACTGATAAGTACTCCTTGCGTGACCTGTATGTAGGAAATAGATAAAGTGATCTGTACCCCATATATAAGACCAGATAGCAAGGCTCCTGGGACCTGCTGATAAGACACACTGAAGACACATCTGAGCACTGAAGACACATAAAAAGAGCAAGCTCCACAGCAGATCAGAGATGTTCCTTCTGCTCCTCCACAGGGGGTTGCCCTCCACTTCCCCTGCCTGCACCAGTCAAAGCTCTGCCCGAACCCTGAGCAGCAGACTGTGAGCCGTCATGAGAGGCCTCAACTCAAGCCAAGCTGCAGCTGCAAAGTCCTCCGTGAACCGTGTGTGTGTGTGTGTGTGTGTGTGTGTGTGTGTGTCTGTCTGTCTGTCTGTCAGTGCTGATCCCCGGGTGGTCTGCCTAGGATTCTGGAACCCACCGGGACTCTGGTAAATAAACCGTGAGTGATTCGTGCATTGCATGTTTGTCTCCTGTGTAATTTATGCTTGGTGGAATTATTAAGTATCTAGGGTCATACGTGTCAGATTTCTGGCTGAGGCACCCTAGATCACCTGTGCATACGTCCCTTATGGAATTATTGGGACAATTGGCATAGTTGGCTGTATTCGGTAGCGTAAACCACATGTGGAAAGAGAGGGTTCTCTTTGCCAAAGAAAAATATTCAGAGATGCTTGATAAAGATGACAAGGCAGCCCTAACCGGTTTGGCTCAGTAGATGGGAGCGTCAGCCTGCAGACTGAAGGGTCCCAGGTTCGATTCCAGTCAAGGGCATGTACCTTGGTTGAGGGTACATCCCCAGTAGGGGGTGTGCAAGAGGCAGCTAATCTATGTTTTTCTCTCATTGATGTTTCTAACTCTCTATCCATCTCCCTCTCTGAAAAAAAAAAAAAAAAAAAAAGTCAATGAAATATATATTTTTTTAAATAAAGATGATAAGTCAGACTTGTATTTGGGAATACCATGATAGGTACAGGGACCACTGACAGTGGGCAAGAAGGAATTTATGGCTAAGGAGCTGAATGAGGGTCAGTATAAAGAAAATTACTAAGAGAAAACATCAAAGGGTGAGGAAGGCTCTGGTTAACCTAGCCTAACAGATTCTTATTGTAGACTGAGCAGGTTGATCAGGTATCATGTGAGGTGGTGGAGGATAAGGAACCTGTTCAGACATTCAGTGTGACCAGTTAACAAGGGGAGATAGGGATTTTGCTAAAGCTGGATTTCATAAGAAAGGGCCTAGGAGAAAGTTCAGAAGCCTGACTAAAGTTTGGTCAAGCAAAGACTGTCATTTGCAACAGAATTGGAGTAGCTCTGTTATCAACCCCTTCTTATCTCCACCATTTAGGGGCCAGTCAGGAATGCAAAGTGCAAGCTAGTGGTTTATAAAGCACCATTCTAAACTCCCCTGGAGGCATCCAGGGCCTGCTTATCTATGTTGTTTAGAGATGTTTTAACCTTACAGCCTGACTTGAAATATGTGACCAGAGTAGTATAAAAGATCCTACTTGACCCTTATTTTGTGAGAATTAAATAAATAATACACTTAAAAGTACCTGGACAAAAAAATAAATAAATAAAATAAAAAATTAAAAAATAAAAGTACCTGGACATAGTAAATGTCCAATAAATGTTAATGTCTATCAACTATAGTAGAAGGCTTCAGAAAGCTTCTCTGTCTGAAAATATCTGTCACTGCCTAAAATTCTGTCAGGGAGACTCAGACCTTTTGACTCAGCCTCTTTTTCTAAGACAAAAAGTGTTACTCAAACTTGCAGATGCATATAAATCATCTGGAAAACTGGTTAAAACAGATTGCAATGGCACCTCCAAAAATTCTGATTCATTGTAATATTTGACCTCAGAATTTGCATTTCTAACACACTCCCAGGGCTGCTGCTGGTTCCAAGACAACACTCCGAGCAGCTCTTCCTTAGACAGAAACACTTCACATCCCCACTCACAAGTTAGTACAAATGTGTGTACTAGGTGGCTTTTCCTGGGATCCCTCACTAAAGATATTGGAAGTTTTGCCAAATAAGAAAAGGAGAGGGGACAAGACAGGCCACAGGAAAGTGGACGGGTCAACACAGAAAGAAAGCTGGCATTTCAAAAGGCAGCTGAAGAAGACAGATAATCAAAGTGGGATCGGGTAAAAACATGCCAAAATAAGGAGAAAAGGTTAAAATGGGGAGGTGAGAGAATACTGTTATGGACTGAATGTTTGTACTCCTACTTCCCAAAACTCCCAGTGTGGCTGTGTTTGGAGATGAGGCCAAACACTAGGAGGTAATATAGTAAAATGAGGTCAAAAGTATGAAGCCAACAGGATTAGTATCCTTATAAGAAGAAATACCAGAGAGCCTGTGCCTTCCCATACCCGCACCCCCACATACACACACACTAAGGAGAGGCCACGGAGCACACAGAGAGAAGTTGTCCATTTGCAACCTTCATTGAGGGGCCCCGCCAACCACCAACCCTGCTGGCACCTTGATCTTGGACTTCCAGTCCCAGAACTGTGGCAGATAACTGTTTGTGTTAAGTCTGTGGTATTTTGTAATGGCAGCTCAAGCAGACTGATACAACTACTAAAGACTTCTTTACCCCTACTCAGTTGTTCCTTGGTTTGATAACAACTAAAAAGTTCTCTTCTTAAATACAACTTTCTCTTACTTTTGACTTTATTTTCCCTTATTCTAATGTCAATGGAAATATAAAATAGTATGATTTTTTTCAAACTTCTGCTTTTATCATTGTTTTTATCAATCCACTAAACAACATCTAACAGAAAAGAAACCTATATACTTTTTTTTTTTAATTACTGAAAAGCCAAAACAAATAAATTTCTTACTTGTTCCTTTCCAAGTGAATAATATGCTCTTTTCCTTCAGCTTGAATGACATAAGATACCTAAAGGCACAAGAACAATAAAACACCATCTTATAAATTACTTTCAAAAATAGGTATTTATAAGACACTGGAAACTTCATCCTCAATGAAAATAATTGACTGAAATTATTTTACAGAAAAACCTTATGCCTGCTCAAATAATAAAAAATCATCTGACCATATCTGCCTTCCTGATCACAAGCTACCTGTGCAGTATTAGTATGAAGATAAAACTTACTTTTGAGTAAAACATTCCCAATATGAAATATATGCATTTAACATACTACTATTCTCTAGTGCCCATGAAAACACAATATGAGAAATATCTTACTTCTCACAAACTAAGAGAGAGGTAACTTATTATTATTTCAACAAGATCACTATAACCATCATCAGTCAGTTCAGGGTTAGAAATCTATGTAATCAACTTCCTATCCTGGTTCAAAAATGTATTTAACTATTTCATTTATTTAACTGTTACAAGTTGAACATTCTGTCTTTAAAAGAAATTACCAAGGATCAATATGTCCTTTTTACTAGAATAACATCCAATAAACATCAGTGCCATATGTATAGTTCTGTACTAATCTTTGGCCAATATTTACTCACTGCTGAAAATAACACCTTTGTCTTAAAATTCAACAACAATGTAAATATATACATATTTCTCAAGAGATAATTTACCTGTTTTGAATAGGGCCTACGGGCTTCTCTTCGTTCTCTAGTTAATCTCCAAGGAGTTATAATTTCATAAGAAGAGAGATGTGAGGTCTGTTGAAAGCCTACAGAATAGAAAGTAATAATTACATGGTACTAAAATATAATAGAATTCAAACGCTGAATGTTCAAATCAGAAAACCCATTTGACATTTCCATATGATTTTTTTCAAACTTCTGCTTTTATTATTGTTTTTATCAATCCACTAAACAACATCTAACAGAAAAGAAACCTATATACTTTTTTTTTTTTTTATCAATATATATATTAAAGGCCCGGTGCACAAACTCGTGCACAGGTGGGGTCTCTTGGCCTGACCAGCAACTGAGGCCTATGGAGGGACCAGCTGGCCTGGGGGAGGAGCCGCAGGAGGTTGGCTGTGGTAGTGCACTAACCACAAGGGGGCAGCTCCTGCATTGAGCACCTGCCCCCTGGTGGTCAGTGTGCATCATAGTGACTGATCATCTGGTCATTCTGGTGGTTCAGTCATAACAGTCGCTTAGGCTTTCATATATATAATTAGTTGTACATGAAAATAGCAATATATTAGATACTAGAGGCCCAGTGCACAAATTCATGCACCAGTTGGGTCCTTCAGCCTAGCCTGCAGGATAGGGCTGAAAATGGCTCTCCAACATGCTCCAAAGGGTGCCGGGCTGTATGGGGTGACCAGGTTGGCAGGGGGGTTAGTGAAGGACAACCAAACAACTGAACAGCAGGCTGTGTGAGGTGACCAGGCCGGCAGGGAGCAGGGGGGGGGGGGGGTGTAGTGAGGGGCAACCAGGCCAGCGGGAAGGGAGGAGTTGGGGGTGACTAGGGCAGCAGGGGGGCAGTTAGGGCAACCAGGCTGGTGGGGGAAGGGAGGGGAGAAAGAGGGGACAGTGAGGAGTGACCAGGCCAGCAGGGTAGGGGGGGTGAGTTGGGGGTGACCAGGCCGGTGGGGGGGAAGGGACAGTGAGGGGCAACCAGGCCAATAAGGAGGTGAGGGACGATCAAACAACTGAACAACAAGCAGGCTGTGTGGGGCAATCAGGTCAGCAGTGGGGGCAGTTGGCAGCAACCAGGCTGGCAGAGGAGGGCAGTGAGGGGCAACCAGGCCATCAGAGGAGGACAATGAGGGGCAACCAGGCCAGCGGGGGCAAGGGGCAATGAGGGATGACAGGCAAGCAGGGAGGGCCTTGAGGAGCGACTAGGCTGGCAAGGGGGAAGTTGGGGGTGACCAGGTCAGCAGAGGGGGGGCAGTTAGAGGTGATCAGGCCAGAAGGCAGATGAGCAGTTAGTAGCCAGTGGTCCCAGATTGTGAGAGGGATGTCCAACTCCCAGTTTAAGATACAGTATAAATAGGAAAACATAATCGGACATCCCCCGAGGGATCACGGGTTGGAGAGGGTTCATGCTGGCGTGAGACACCCCCCCCCCCCCCCGCCGCCATGCACAAATTTTGTGCCCAAGGCCTCTAGTCCTATATAATAAAAGCCTAATATGCTAAGTGTTTGACCTTCTGTCCGACCATTCGATCAGTTACTATGACATACACTGGTCTGGGGAAGTCACTCCAACTGGTAGATTAGCTTGAGGTCTGGCCAATCAGGACTGGGTGAGACAAACTGGACATGCCCTGGAGTCCTCCTACAGTACCTCCCTGACCGGTCAACCTTTCACAGTCCCTCCCTGGATAGCTGGCCCAAATTGGCCCCAATTGGGACTAGGCGAGACAGTGCCAATTGGCCCCAATAAGGACTGAAAAAAATGGGCCAGACACACCCTGGAGGCCTCCCATGGTCCCTCCCTGGCCCTGATCATGCACTGGTGGTGACCCCTGGCCTGACTTGCACCCTCTCACAATCCAGGACCCTTTGGGGGGATGTCTGAAAGCTGTTTTCAGCCTGATCCCCGCAGGCCAGGCCAAGGGACCACACCAGCGCACGAATCTTTATAATGCTACTGGCCTGGTGCACAGATTCATGCACATTGAAAGGAAATCAATCAGAAGGTGGCTGGTGGGGCAAAATTGGGTGAGACAGGCCGGATACGCCCTGAACCAACCTCCAACAGTCCCTCCCCAGCCAGCTGCACCTGGAGTGGAGCCAGATTCAAAGAGCATCTGCAGAGAAAGTGGGGTCCCTCCGGCAGGTGGGGTTTCTTGGCCTGGCTTGTGGAGATAGGGCCAAAACAGGCAGTTTGACAGCCCCCAGTGAGGTCCCAGAGTGTAAGAGGACACTCTACAAAGTTGCTGTCGCTGGGCAGCTCCTGTGTTGAGGGCCTGCCCCCTGGTGGTCAGTGCGCATCGGATCTACAGGCTGGTCTGCCAGTCACTTAGCCTTTCATATATATATATATATATATATATATATATATATATATATGGACTAGAGGCTAGTGCATGAAAATTCATGCACTGCGGGGGGGGGGGGGGGGGTCCCCTCAGCCCAGCCTGCTCCCTCTCACAGACCAGGAGCTCTCAGGGGTAGGAGGAGACCCAGTGATCAGGGCAAGGTGACACCCCCATCACACCTCTGCTGCTGCCACTGCTGGCAGCACAAGCCTCGGCCGGCTCTGGTTACCCAAGCCTCGGGCAGCCCTGGATGGCTGGGCAGCTGCCATCTGAGGCTTGCCTGCACCTCAGGCCAGCCCTAGGCAGCTGGGCAGCAGCCATCTGAGGCTTGCCTGTGCCTCGAGCTCACCCTGGGTGGCTGGGCAGCTGCCATCCAAGACTTGCCTGCACCTTGGGCATCGGGTGGGCAGCTGACATCTGAGGCTTACCTGCCCCTCAGGTGTCAGCCCTGGGAGGCTGGGGGCCTAGAGCAAGTCTGGCCACACTGTGCGCCTGCTGCCCGCCCTGCCCCAGCAGCGGGGCTGAAGGACTGGGCACCATCTTTGTCATAGTGTGATGGCCAATTTGCATATTCTTTCCTTATTAGATAGGATAGTATATTACCCTAATTAAATGTGACTGCAAGTCATTACATAAAAACACCAGAAACAGACTAAAATAAAATGCTCACAAAAACAACCACAGGCTAACCTAAGGCATATTGATGCCTTGTAATAATCAGGTTATGATAAAATATTCAGATGTTTTGAGTTTTCAATTAGGAACCATGTCAAAAGAAATTTATGGCCTTAAAAGATGCACTAGATAGAAATATCCTTAATGCTAAATTAACTGAGGTACAGGACTGTTTCTTCACCTAGAATAGATCTTTCAATGACCTTCAGTTTTTCAATTCCTAAAATCACAAATTTTAATATCCTTAATAATATCATTCTGGATCATGGTAATCTATCCAACTACAAAGACAGTCACTCAAGAAGCAAGTGGTGGCATGAATAAAATGTTTCCTGTGGGTTAGAAGTTTTGTGTGATAAAAAGTAAATCATCCTGTACATTTACAACCTCCTGTGATTCCATAATTATTTTGGGCCACAGATGAAACTAACCCTTCTATACAGATTGCTAGCAAAGAATAAAAGATGGGAGGGAGGAGGAACACAATTAATCATTTCTTTTAAAAGGCTTTCAAAGCACAGCACCCAAGGCTTGCTGTCCAAAAGACCTCAGAGGAGCATCTTGGAGATCGCAGTAGAGGTCACAGTGCAGTGGAGCTGTTAGTACATTGGAAGACCCCAGGTTGGCATCCCTGGGAGGAAGAGCATGAGGAGAGAGTTGAAGGCCCTGTCGGGGTATTGGAGGATCAGGCTGTGGTAACCTATCACTATGGGAGACAAGAAAGAAGAGAGCTAGCCCAGCCGGTGTGGCTCAGTGGTTGAACATCGACCTATGAACCAGGAGGTCACAGTTCAATTCCGGTCAGGGTACATGCCTCCGTGTGGGCCGAGCCCCCGTGGGGAGGAGGGGTGTGTGCATGAAGCAGTGGATCAATGATTCTCTCCCATCATTGATGATTCTATCTTTCCCTCTCCCTTCCTCTCTATAACCAATAAAAATAAAGTAACATTTAAAAAAAGTATAGTACCCAAAAATAACTTCTGTATGTAATAGCTATTACTATAATATCAACTTCTTGGTTTTAAAATCCAAGGATCCACTTTATGAGTGCCAAAAAGAGTTCTAAAATGTAAAAAATATACATGCTTGGGTTATAGAATTCAAAAGTAATATACATTAATTGTATGAAAATCCTCCTTCCTATATTTTTTCCAAATTTCTTTCTTATTTCTAGGTCTGGGTGTAGGTGTGTTGCTTTTTGTTTTGTTTTGTTTTTCTTTCCTTTTTTTCCTGTTCATATCTTGCATGTATTTTTCAATTCCCTTTTTATTTCTTAAACTCCAATTAGTAGCACCTTCTCATGGGAACAAAAAATAACATGTTTCACATGTTACTATAAAGGAAGTGCATTAACACTATTTATATAAAGCTTTAAACCTCAACACTATTAACATTTTGGGCCAGAAACTTCTTTGAGGGGAGCGGGGCCTGTCCTGTGCAGTGTAGGATGTTAAGTAGCATCCCTGGCCTCTGCCCACTAAAACCAGAAGCACCACCAGTGTGACAACTAAAGATATCTCCCAGAGGCCTTCCGGGAGATACAGTTCACAATGAAATAAAAATATTAATACAGTCAACTCCACAGAGAATATAAACTGTTGTTTTAGAATCTGACAAAATAAACATAGTGTCTAAAATTACACCACTAGAAAACATGGACTGAAGATAAAAATAAGAAGCTGAAACATGAATATTAAAGTGTCTCAAATTTAGCAAAAGAAAGGGAAAAGTGTTAATTTTACTCCTTTCTTCCTCTAACTCAGAGATTTTCAACTTTTGTCATCTCATGGCACACATAAACTACTAAAATTCTGCAAAACAAAAAAATATATATATTTTGGCCGATCTGATAAAAAAAAAGAGGTATAATTTTTTATTCATTCACACCAGACAACTATTATATTGTCTGTTGCCATTTTTTTAATTTGAGAATCTAAGGGAAAAGAGGTCAGTGCCCTGACTAGTCAGGTATTGCATTTTTTAAAAAGTCTTGCAGTAAACCAGTGTGCCGTGTGCACACCAATTAAAAATCATTGTTCTATCTCTGTAGATTG